GTGCATAATGGTTTAGATATCTCATTTATAGAACATATCCTTTCATAAAATGAAAACCAGCACAAATAAAAAATATTAGTCAGTCCAGATAATATTCAAACTTGTTACAGAAGATGATAAATGAACATGGGGGAAACTCAGAAAGAAAATATATAATTACTATGAACACATAATGATACGACTGTTATAATTCCCCCCACTTGTAATTAAACCTATCTAGATAATGTTACTCACTTAGAGCACGAAGGGAAAGAATAAATACATAATATATTCTTTGCAACATAAAAACACATAGTATCAACAACTCCTGTTACCTTGACCAGAAAACCTCCTTTCTGATCTGTTTGTACAATGTAATGGTACACAAAAAAGTGTACTGCTAACACTTTTTATAGCAACACTAGTAATTATTCTACACTTCTGAGTAATTTTGTTGCAAAAGATTAAATGTTTAAGGTATAAGATCATTCTCTGGAAAGTGTGTTAAATTTGGGCTAATTTGACTAAATTAATATGGGGTGGGGCAGTGTAGGTCTTCATGATTCATAAATAAGTTCAAATACAAAAAAGTATTGAAAATGTATTCACCTCTTACATTACATGTATGAAAGATGCTGGTAAGTATAATTCTAAAAATTATTTTAAAACTTTACTATAAAATGTATCAGCAAAAACAAAATCAGTTTAAACTTATAAATTATATTTTAGAAGAAGATGAAAAATAACTATCAATTTAACTTCTTTGTTAAGAAATACAGACAGTGACAATAAAACTATTCAAATCAAATTAAACTATCCTATTCAACATGTGAGAAACTCCCCTTTTCAATGGTTTTTGTTGATTGATCTCTTTTATGTTATGCCATTCTTAAAACAGACTGTCCTTCTGTTTAGTCAATTTCCAGATTTTCTTTTGCAGTTGCTTGGCATTTTAATGAAATGCTTGAAACAAAAACCCATTACAAGTAACGTAGTATTTTACTGCGGAACTGTATTACATTCCAAGCAATAATGTAGAAGATTGGCTCTTACGTTTCATGAATTTGACATTAACAGTTGTGGGTTACTTTGCCCACTTTTCATGGATGACAGAACAATCAAATCATAAGGTGCAAACACCACACATTTTGCAAGTCACTTAATGCATATGAATGCAGATTACAAAATTATCATTAGGATCATATTTCTGATAGTAAAATTTGTCTAAATGTGCTCTGACAAATATTTTTAAAATGGACTGCAACACCTGTACACATTTTAAGACATAAAAATACTGTGCACATGCACATCTCCACATTTCACTGCACTGTTTAAGGCAAAACAATGTGGCAATATTTCAGCAAGTATAAAGGGAATTTGCTTCTTGGGTTCTATTGTTGCATTAGAACATAACCCAACACATTATTTATGGTGAGACAAAACAGCACCCTAAAGAACAAAGTAACCTGATTTTTGGTATCTGAAAAATAAGAACATAATCTAATACAAATAATTTATAGCAAAGAAGCATATAAAAACCAAAAATAATTGTTACCAACTGAAATTCACAATTTTGGTTCAAGAAACGGAAAAAGTAACTAAAACTGAATTCTGGGAAATTCAATTAAACAACTAATAATTAGTAATTAGATTATCTATTAAAAGTAACCTCGACAGTACTGAGCATTCTCCACTATTTAAATAATTATATTTGTATTAAATATTATGTAATGACATCTTACAATTCCTAATAATGATTATTATGATTAATTTGTGTTTTATACAACTAATAAAAAAAGTATGGTTGACCCACCATAATTACACGTGTGAAACATTGGTAACAACATTTTTGGAATAGGAACAGTAGTTTTACTGTGATTTTAATAAATTCCAAATGTGTGAATTTCAGTGCTACAAAATTAGAAGCTGATAAACTTTGACTGCTACAGCATTAATTATCAAGCATAGCTACAATGTACATAATAGTTTTCCTACTGTTTGTAGCCTCTTCGACACTGGTGACATTGACTGCATCATCTGCCAAAAGAAATTCACATTACTTCCTGGCCAACGACACACATCCTACTATTGGCAAAAATATTGATGCCTCTTCTCAAACATTTTGGAGAAACATTACAAAGAACTTAATATTAGTCAGCTGTAGTTCAAATGAAATGTGTTGAAATTAAGCAGATGATATTAGAAAAAATGTGTGTGAGTGTGATAGAGGAGTTTGACTCATTTGAGTTTAACTTCATCCTTCACTGAAAATACACAATTTTAAACATTTTATTCATATCCTACCAAAGGATCAAAGAAGGTAATCATCCAACACAAGTAATGAAAAGTAGTTTCAAGAAAAATTATCTGAAGCTTCAAGTTTTAAACTCACAACAGTTCATGTGCATTAATATTGATGTTGTGGCCATGTAAAATTTCCACATTCTCAGCCATTTAATCTGGTACACAATCAATAGCAACGAATAAGAATAAATTATTAAGACTTTGACAGTAATGATAAGGTATTGGTACACACAAAAAACAAAGTTTTGTTTAGGCTGCTGAGAAACGAAAAAATCCACATTTTTATTATCCACAAGAAACCCTTTCTTCAACTATTGTATATTAGGCCCTCTAATCTCTCCTCATTCCAAATTAATTCTGAAATAATGACTCCTTTGAACATTTGTTAAGAATTCCCAGAATGAAGATTAGACCAATGTGTGGCCTCTATCTCTATAAGACAAGACAAAAAATGTAAACATACATTCATTACAAGAAAATGTTTGAAACCCACGATCCCATTATCTGAAGGCTTCAAGACTATACACAACAGATTCTGTGGTCAAATAATTCTTGCTTCTATTAATAATTACTGCAATGATAAAATCATTCATTTCCATTAATTTTGTGGCAAAAGAACTTTCCACATTAGAAACTATAACCTATAATTTTAATGGTCTCTCAAAGATGTTAATTTGCTTCACATGCAAAGAAAAGTTTATAATCAGCTTTTTCATTGAACAATGAATTTGTCAGAACTTTATGAACATGATCTGATAGACAAATTAATTAAAAGTACTGTATTTAGTATCCATTTTCCTGTAATGCGGTGTGTACCACTTCTGGAAATTTCGTGTGCAGTTCAACCAGGGAAATTAATCGAGTGTAGTTTTTGTTATGAAGATGTGACATGTTGATTGATATTAGACATTCTACTTTAGTCCACACTCCTCTTTATTTTCTAGTATAAAATAGAATTACTTACCCTATTGTCAGCTTGGAATTCTGAATTTATTCACATTCAAATTTGAATATATTTATTTAAAAATCACGAACACCACTAACTGCCGGAGTAATTCACAATACATGACAGCACGATCACATTTCCCACCAAGAGTCGTACATCCTTTTTGCACACATTATTTTCCAAGTACCATATCATCTATGATTGAACTGAAGTGAGTGCAGGAATGTTAGCGCGTATTCACTTTAAAGCACTAATGACTTCCACTTGGTGCCATTTAATGCACCCAAACTACCCAGTTTTTATAGCACTTTCATCAACAATATTACGTCTGCGAGAATATTGGAAACCACTGAAGTTTTCTGTGGTGACAAACTGTAAAATACTGTATCCAATTTTATTACGTTTCGCTTTTCCCATCAATGGAAAATAACATCAGAATCGAGCATAATTTGGTTACATAGCAATATGTTTTGGACTAATAATTCTAGAATAAACCACGAAAATAGCAGGTGCTTTAATATCTACTGTTACAAACATTTCCTGTGTATGCAAACCCACATTCCTTCAATAACTTAAGTGAAAATAACATAACGTGCGCCTTGCGTCCAAGTAAAATTACGAAAGTCTATAAATGAACGAAAGCAGTGCGGCCCTCTGCCTGAATATTTAATCCGCAACATTTCTGTCGCGTTCACAACGATATTGCAAAAAATAGGCCATTCGCTTCGCCAAGTCTTTGTGTCAGCCCGCTTGTAAAAGCTCGGGAAGCACAAAACAGATTTTCATAAAATTTTAGATTGTGAAGTTTTTCAAACAACTGTCGGCACATCCAACAGTTTGGCCAACATCGGACAAAACAGACGAACGTGTGCATTTCTGCATAGAAAGTAACCTTAATACCGCATGGGTGAATCCCCACCCAAACCACGTTTTTACGTCATCCAGGCAGACACGCCCACGCAGTCACTGACCCCAGGTGATTCTGAAGTCATTCGCACAAATAAGTAAATGCTTTGACAGAACAGCCTCCCATAAAAGACGAGTAGCTGATGCATCTCGCTCAATTCTCATCCCTCTCCTTTCTTGAACACACCTAACAGAATATTCTAAAGAAAAGTTAAAAATCATTAGTGATAAAGCTGATGTACGGCTAGTCCGATTTTACTTCTATGTTGAATGCAAAGTATCTCACTAGCAACCGACTGATTACCTCAAAACAGACACTAATAATACCCAACAATTCCATTTGCATATGTTAACCTCAACAAAAGAATGATAACACAATTGTGCATATAGTTAACAATGCCATTCCATGACAATTATTGCAGTCATTTTCATCATTCTCCTTATAAATGAGTGTAAAAAAATATTCCTTCCACTGCTCCAGAAATTCTTTACTCCAAACATAATTATTAAGTTTGCAATGATTTCCACCTTTCCAACATTGAAACACCAAGACTCAGCTGCATTTCATCCAGTCCATTAAATATTGTTAATCCCTGTACATTCAATAGATCATCATTCTAATCTTTACAAAGTTAGTTCTAAATGTTTTCTAAACCCACCTTTAAATAATGGATATGTACGACTGATACTAGTTTGCCACTTATATACATTTTGGGAAATAAATGTGGCAGAAGGTAACCTGCAGTGCAATAAAACCTGCCTACTTTAGAATCATAATGAACCAGTCTACCATTGTTCGAATTATTCACAATCCTTTAGAATCCAGTTGAAGCAGGTTTTAATGTGTAAAATCAATTTAAAACTATTCTGTATAAATACATTTATGATTAAGATTTTAATATTACAAAGTTGAAAACAAATGGACAAATTTCATAACAAAATGAAACCCTTTTCGGGTATACATCCTTTATCCTCCCAATATACAGACATTTACTACTACCGATTTGTTTTGGTGGAAATACAGGAAAACTTTTTACAGCAAATTTAAATATATTACAATCTCAAGATACATTCAATTAAAGACTGTACACTGGCTCTGTTGTTCCAAAATGTAATCATGAATTATACAGAGCTGAATCATTCATCATGTCCATAATCACAACTAAAAGATGAGTACTGTACTATTATGGACCTAAAAATATCAAATAATGGTCTCGTAGAAAGTCACCAACAGCAATGGAACTTAACCAAATCTGTTGGAAATAAGCCTTAGGTGACCTTCACACTTTAGTTCATTCATGGTTATTGTGAGCGGTAATGCAATGCAGTGAAAATAATGCACAATGTCTGTTTTAGGAGTGTTCACATACCTGTATTTGAAAAAGTCAGTGCAAACAATCAGCCAGGATAGCTCAGTTGATGGTCTGAACAGTTGTGCAGTCTGAGGCATTTTTGTCCTTGTAGTCTATGTCGCATCGTCTTGTATGTAACTGGAGGAAATATAAAAACAAAAGGGAAAAGGTTGGGGGGATGATAGAAATAAATAACATAATAAGAAGAAAAATCAGTATAGTGACTAGCTATGAGCTTGACAACTGGTGTTTAATTCCCAGCAAGGGCAGGAATTTTTCTGCAAAACATATGCGTATAAGTGTCGAATGCAATGGACAAAAATTTTTACTCATACTTCACGTGAAAACCCTAACACAGAATAAGTTTATATCTAGTTCTCACTGCAACAAAACTGTACAATGAAGTTTTATTTTTGACTTCATGTAAGGGTAAGCAAAACAAATGCATATACATAATATGCAAGGCAGGAAGAATGATCCAACTCAATGCTGTTAAGATGCAACATTAAATGATTACAAGTAATGACAAAACTACACACATCTTGGTGTCATTATTTCAAGTCAAGAGTCAATCAAATTAACACCCATATACATATTAAGTAATGTAACATGATCTGCTCATTAGAATCTTGGACATTTTCTTTTACCACATTAATAGCAAAAGATTTACAAAAACTGGGAAACAGCTATGGGTATGAAGAGATAAATCCACAGAAAATAGTTCCTTTCAAATTCAACTAAAATGCTGATTGAATAAATAATTAACAATCACTATACAGCACAAGAATAACAACATTTTAGTGGAAACCCATAACAACATCTAAACCAACATTCTCCTTGAATCAAGATTAATGCCATATAATGTTAGTGCCACAGAATTAACCAAATGGATGTTCATAATACACAACAAACCATTATTGAACATAACCTATAAAATTTTACCCTTTACTTTCGTGCAATTTTAATTTACTATACTTATGAATTAAAGATATGTACTTTTCATTAGCATGAAATCAGAATGTTATGACTTTCAAGAAATGACACCTGTAAAGCTGATGTTTTGTCCTACAGAAGGATGCTTACTCACATTTCCAATACAAGATCATACCATCAGTTGTTATAGTGGATTTGCACTGTATTCCTATCCTAACTACTGTAATATTTTCTACTATTCTGTACTTTTTATACATGACAAAAAGAAGGTACCTCCTGGTGTCTTTATTACTTCACATGGCACTACATTAAGAAAACAGCTTTCACAGCAACCATACAACTTAGCTAAACTGCATGCCCCTTCAGTAGCTGTACCTAATAAAGGCATATGGTATACACAAATTACTTTTAAAACAATTTCAGTTTAACAAATTTCTGATAACCAAGCAATGAATAAGTTAATATTATTTATCAAGAATGAACAGTTTCAAAAACTTGCATACTGGATAACAGAAACTGTCAGACCTAAAAGAATAAAAATCTATGATTGCCATTCTGTAATAAACACAATTTAAATATATGGGATGGTGTCCATGGCCACTTCAGATAATGATGTGTACATTCATACTTACTACATCAAGCACAGTTTGTGTGCAAGTTTTAAGTAAGAGACAAAGCCAGATTGCTCTGCAATTATCTCATTCCTAACAGTTCATCATAAGTTCCATGCATGCATTATTTATGTAGTGGTTTCTATCATATGGCAATGCATAAGCAGCTATTACATTCTAAACTCTGTATCCATTGCTCAACACACCAATGCAAACATGAAACTAACTAAAATGAACTGATACAAATTCTTTAACCTGAATCACACCATCATCTACTTTACAGCACTGACAAAGGGTGTTACATGGCAATAAACACATCACACATTGTTTCTCAGAGATTTTTACAACAAATAACTTTTCATTGCTCAAAATCTTAAACCACAATTCAGATACCTTCTTCATACCAGTAAATGAGATCAGGAAATAAAACATTAATGTTTTGGAGTTTAAGATAACATACCAAATAGCTTCTTAAGACTTCCATACTTCATAATCTGCCAGTCTCCTTCCATGGGCACACAAGATATTAATGCAGACAATAAAATAACATCCAGTAAACAAAATGTTGTGAAAAAATCTTGTGAAAATTTAAAACAAAGTATAATAATAATAATAATAATAATATTAAATATACTATGTACATATTCTTCAGATATTAAAAAACAAAGTCAACAGAAAAATTAAATTCTTTCACATATTATTAAAAGAATTTTAAAATAAGACAAAGGCATCTCATAGATATAAATCACAAACTACATTGACAAAACTTACAATAGCTTTCTTCAAAATATGAACTTGCTTTACATTCAAGGCTGCATTTAACACACATCTCATACTTCAGCCAATATTATGAGGTTGGTTGGGTTTGGGTTTGAGTTTGGAGGTTAGTTACTGTGATGAACAGCCAGCTGGAACACATGTTAAGACATCTCACATGACAATAAAGGCAAATTACATTGTTGGAGTAAAATATGATAAGTAGTTATTTAACCTTGAACACAGCAGTTACCTACCTGGCTTCTATTTAGAAAATGAATATATTAATATAAAATCTACAGGTTATGTACACTGTGATTCATGTGAAATCCCTGCACACCCATGCATAAATACCCAAGATTGGAGGTTGTTTTGAAAGAAACTGCTAAACTGTTCAAAGATAGTGTTGTCCAGCAACTATGTTTTGAGTGGGGGCGGAAAGGCTGGTTGACAAGAAATTTGGTGACAGGCAGGATGTGTTTAGCTTCTTATATCAAGTGCATGACAAAGCTGGAGGCCCACAACAATACTAATCTCACATGAAAACCACACCTTTCTTTTACATTTACATCTCATGAACCATTCGACAGAAAGATTAATGGTTAACACCAAAGTAGTTCTTCCTGCCAATTCTTCAATTACGATCTCATTAACATCTTCACTGTTAATAAAAATGTCAGCAGGCTGTATGTTAGCCAATAATCAGCATATTGTATTTGGACACCAACATATTTCATCCCCATATTCCAATACATTCTCAGATTTAAAATTCATGACTAAATTAATATATTGATTGACAGCTATAAAAATTTAATATTACAGCATGCAAAACTGTCCCATTCATAATTCATACTGTGCTTTTCCATGCAGCAGAACTGTTCCATCTTAAAATGCTGAAGGGGTTAACCCTCTGGCCACTGCATACCCAGTATTGTGAAGGAACACTTTCTGAAGAGAGAACACGTAAGGTATATTCAACTACTCCTATGATCCAATAATGATAATGATCCTTAGCATAAAGGACACACAATCAAAACCATAGTGGAAGAATTATATGCCCCAGAGACCAAAATTTTAACTCTGTCAGAGTTAAAGGTTAAAAATGACAAGTCCACAAACATCTGCACTACTCTTGTACCTGAGGCCTTTGGCATGGAATGACTGTTTCTCCTAATAAAATTATGTGTTCCTACTACAGTCTCATGACTGTGTAAGAAGCACAAAAATTTCTACAACAAAGTCTAGAAGTAGTAACGCTGTGACCATGCAGATTGTATACGCACTGCCAGTTATTACATATAACACATATCTTCTGCTACAGATACAAGTTAAGGAGCGAAAACAAAGTCATAACATGTCGACTTTTATAATTGGAAGCTCAGAAATTTAGGCAACTATGACTTAAGGGAAAGTGTTATTCCAGACTTCATATTATAACTTCTCATTTGCAAATGCTTACATTACAAAAATGTGAATTTAAACATTGTAACATTAGGCCATAGACAGTCTTCACTCTAAATAAGCTACTTTCTCTCTGACAAGAGTTTTTTTTATATTCAATTTCACATACAAGGAATACTGTTGGTTATATGTAATTCATATCTGTAACTTCAGTTTCATCAGTGGTATTCAGTACTTCTTCTTTAGAATGTCAATTCACACCTAGCTCTTGCAAATAACTTTCCTGACAGTAACTTTTTAATACTTTCTTCAAGCAGTGAAACCAGAAATATAAATATACGAAATAATTTTTTCTCAAGTTAACAAATTTTGACCCATTTCCAGACAAAAAGTTATGTAAATGGTGATAAGTTGTTTCTCACTTATTTCAAAATATCCTAGCACCACCTATAAAACAACTGACAACAAACACTGGCATAAAAATGCAACAATACAAAACACAACAAAGAAAAGTTTTGAGCTTGACAGAAAGTTCCAGGTAACTGTAATCATCAAGGAATTTTCACATACATACATATACACACACAAATTCCACCTGAAACATTGTATTAGAAAGATAATTTCTGACTACACAAGTTCCAGATAGAAGTATTAAATTCACATGAATTTTCATACAAACAAGATAACTGCACCAATTTGTTTCCCCATTCAGACAAAATGCCTCACAACTTGATGTGAGCCAATTTTTATCAATATAAATTCATTCTGAGACATTCAAACCCATGCCAAGTCACAATAAGCAATGGCAGGAAATCACGAGATGAAATATTGTCTTGGGAAGTGAAGTCACAGAGCAACATAAAGTTCTTCAGACAAAAACAGACACAAAGTAAATTGATTTTTCCTCTCAAAGCCATTTTTAACTCGCCTACATGGATATATCTCCACAACTGTGATGAAGTAAGATGTGAGGCCCAAGACTATTAGCTTACAATTTCATGAATTATTGCTTTTAAAATACTAGTCAACAAAAACTGTACCTTATAAACTGACAGCCCTGAGCATCAAAATAGTCTGATTTAGAAAGAAGAGAAGTTCATTCTGGATAAGTTTTGTACTGTTTTGTTATACACAATTCTTTCAGCTTGCACTATATAAGAACAGAAACCTTACAGTTTACTCAACTTTGACTACATGCACACTTTTGGGAAAAATTAATTCTACTGAAAAGGGGGATGAAAAAGCAAAACAGATCCAACAGAAACAAACAGCTTGTGTGACTACGCTTAACAAAATCAATGTTTCATTAAAATGAGTTAAGTCTGGCCAGAATTTGACACTTGACCTTCATAAATGGCACCTATGATAGCAGAGTTGTCTGTGGTAAACCACAGTAAATGTTGTCTGCAGTCCCAGTGAGATAAACTCAAAACGTATTTATCCTTTCATGTGAAGTGTCTAACCGAACATAAAATTAAAATGGCATATATTTTTGTAAACATTCTCCCATATCAAATACCAACATTTTTCTACTGCGTTGTTTAAAGTGTTGTGACAGACAAAACAATTTTATCAGGTGCGTTGCATGGTTGCAAACACTTCTAAAAACAGACATTTAATAAGAATGTCACAGAAATATGAAAAAAGAACCAACTTGTATGGTGTATCATAATGTGTAGAAATTCATTACTGCTGTATTGATCCACATTCAAGTTTTACAAAGATACTTTACATTTTAATCTACACAAGCCCATCAGGTAAACAAAAGTTACACCACTAATCAGCTTGCAAGTTAGGTGGCATGAAGATTTCATACACCTCAGCACCTAGAGAAGCAGAGTTCACATTCTAGCTGCCTTCAAGCCAAAGAACATGGTTTCAATTGTATATACATTAACACTGTAGTTTACAAGCATTACTACATCAATGTTAAAATTATCATTTGTTGCATGTAACAAACTTATTTTGCAGTTATTTAATACTGTTGATAATATTGTTTATAAACCTTCTAAAGCCAAAGCTTGTGTAAATAGTATTTACAAATTCAGTTCCCACCTCAAAGAAAACAATGAATCTCCATTACAAACATCAAATGGTTCATACTGTTTAGGGAAATAAATTCTATTTATTCTAAAATGAAACCCATAAATCACTCTGTGGGAAAAATGAATGTTAAAGCAGGTGGTACATACAATTTACCACAGAATTTTAAAGAGCTAACAATGCTAACAGATTTAAACATTACTTTTTCACATTCTCTTATATTATGTCTACAGCAGAATTTGGGAGTATTTCATGTAACTTATTTTGTAACTGTTCTATTCCTTTTCTCATTCTCGATTTCCTGTACCTCTCATTGATGTGGGAAAGTAAAGGACTGAGTTGTGGTAGTTGTTGCAAGCCAGTACCCCCACTAACTTCCCAGACACAATTCACTGTTGTTGGTTTACCATAAAGGCATAGAAATAAGTAACACAGCAGTAAAGTAACAGCTGTACAAGCTAATATGCATACACTTTACACATTATTATTGAAAAAATATGTAAAATTAATTTCTTGAAAAAATCATACAAATTCCATAAACTGAATTCTTGCGACTACATGACTCCAAGCCTAAAATGAGATAACAGCTTTCCAGAAACAAAGACATAATTCATCAATCCATCAGGAAATAAAAGAAAACAAACATGTTACATAAATTAAATTGCAAAGTACATCCCACATAATGTGACATAACAGAGAAAAGTTCACAACTTTGTTCTGTAACTTATAATACTCATACTGTTCATGTTACTTTGGCAAAAATATAACAGGAAGTGCCTAAGTGATCCTAAAGCTTTAAATAAAAATTATTCTGTAATTTGTAACATTTACAGTACTGTATCTATGTCACTTTGGCAAAAAGGCAACAGTAAGTGAATACAAAGAGAATGAAACTTAAACAAATGTAATATAATAGAAAATGAGACACTAAGCTACAGATCAAAAAGTATTCCCCCAAATCTACACATACTTTGTCACTTGCACATTCTAATATCTGTGACTCTATACACATAAAAAATCTATTTACAAAGTTTAAATTACAGATTAAAGGTTTTTCTTTTTTTAAACAAAAATATTTTTAGACTGGTAAAATAATATTACAATAAGTGAACATTAACAAAAAACGTTGCATTTCTTTGAAACACAACAAAGGCACCGCTACATTAAAAACGGTGTAATTGACCGAGTTTAACATGATGGAGATGAGATTTGTTTGTACTTTGCATGCTGCATTAGGTCACATTAGGAGGCTAGTACTACCAACAACACTTTTCTTCTTCCATCTTCTTTCCTATTATGCAACATTATTATGAATGTACAGGTGAATGATAACAAAGGATGATGAGGTATTTGCCTGAATACAATTTAATATGCTGAAAATTCAAAGCATTAAAAAATTATTTCTTACAAGATGAGTTAAGAGTATTTTACAATGAGGAAATGTAGAACAGGAGCAGAGAATTTGCAAACATTTGGAAAGTACCCCATTAAATCTCAGTCAATACTACCTATTCTGATAAGAGGTTTCACTAATCTAAACTTATCAAACATGCTAAATTCTCAATCAATTATGAAATGTCCAATGGGGCAGTTACTGTATTTAATGATGCAAAAATTATAAAAACAGTTCATCAATATATATTTTTCTGGACAGAAAATTGTATTTATTAGGATAAAGTATGAGAATTTTGAAAGGCACAAGTATATTTTAACTCAATGTTTCTTTTTTTGGTTATTACACTACTCATGATCAATCAGTTTTTGTATATACTGTAATATACACTTCAAACTAAGGCTACCTGCACATAATCCTTTGACTCCAGATACTCTGGGCTAGCAAAGACCATAGTAAATTTCTCAGCCTGGAATATTTATATTTAAATTTTTTAAAATTCTTCTGATGAGGTCTACGCAATAAGTGAAAAACTGTACATAACTGCCATCTTTCCACAATGAAATATTTGTACAGTTCTTCCACCATTAAATAACCATCAATAATTTTGATTATATGTATATCTAATGCTTAATACATATCAATTTAATGTCACCCATTATTCTACACAAAATCTAAAAAGTTAATCTGTTAAAATCAATACACTGTATTCAGGCAAATACATAATTCTAGTCTGACAAACACAACAAAATTATTATGGGGCTCAGGGTTAGTAACAAAATCATTACATTATGTTCAACTTGGTTTCGTTGATGGCATCTGGTGATGGAGATCATTAACAGTATCCCTTCGTATCACCTACAAAGAAAAATTATAATAGTTACACTAATCCAGAGGTGGTTTAATTACATAAGGAAAGAAAAAATAATGCAAAAAACAACCACTTTTCTATAAGTGAAACTAATCTGAATTTACTAAACTACAAAATCATCATCCCCCCTTCCGACAAAATTCCAGACATTTCCATTTACAGAAACTTCATTAACCGCAGTTATCAAGTAATGAGTCTGTCCAAGCGGTGTCACTATTGCAGTAAAGTATATTCAACTCAAGTTGTACAATCTTAATTGTACCTTTCAAACTTCTCTTAATTTCTGTTTAAAAATGAAGGCATTTGAATAAAGTGTTTTAATTTCCTTCTGTTGGTTCATATTTCATATAGTGAACTCAAGAAATGTGTTGTTTTGTATGCAAGTACTAATTCCAGATCCTGATTTGCAATAAAATATGTATTTATTTTATAGAAATAAATCCCAATTTAGTTACATGAAAAAAATCACTGTGACTGATAATTACCTGCTGAGTGGTGACTACAGGAACCTGTGGATTCTGATGTGAGGAGACAGTAGCTGGGGATGAGACTACTTGGTACACAGGGTAGCCAGACTGCTGCTGACTTGATCTGTATCCATAGAAACATACACCAAAAACAACACAAAACTAACATTTGTTCTAATACTTTCGTTGTTTTGAACTTAATTCATCAAAAGTTTTTAAAAAAGTCATATTTGAGACAAGTATCCCCAAAGTTTGAAACTATCAAAATATGCTTCTAAAACTATACAAAATTCATTGCTTGAAGGTAAACTTATAGAATACAAACAAACACAAAAAGATTATGTAACTAAAGTGGACAATTACTTGATGATGCAGGCTGATGACAGCAGTAGTATTTCATGCATGCCACAGTTTGTCATATTGCTACATCAGGGTCCTGTGGAACAATTCAATTGTTAGAACATATTGCACTGTACCTCCTAGCATCAGCTCCTCTCAGTGAGTCTGGTGTTGCCGAAGTACTACGGACAACACCTGGGGTCGAGGACGCAGGTGACACAATAGCAGAGCCTGGAGGTGGGTTCAATGGTGACTGACTCAGCATGTAACCACTGCTCGCTGGACTCTGTCTGTGGGAAGCAGCATAATACTAATAAAAATTCATGAAATCTGGCTAGCTTCACATGACATAAAAGCTGAAACAATTGTCACTGTATTTTATTTACTTGCCACAAACATTTCAGATGGAGATTTGTGTTGAGATGAGCTGTGAGCCAAATATGATCAGGAGAAAAGTTGCCTTTCACTCATTCCACATTCACAGCAAAGTGCAGAAAACATTAACAAGTACATGTTCATCTAGTTACTGTTTTGTAACCAACACATTTTTATAAAACTTTACACTGGGAACTCTCATTAAAATATGCAAACACAACACCTTGACAGTAATGAAATTAACCATTTACAGTATGTCACTTTACATGAAGCACTAAATAAACACAGTGTTTTTCAATTGTGTAAGTTAATAATGTAAGTTACTTTCTATTACATGCATGCCTTGGGCATATGCACATCCATCACAGAACTGGGAAAAACGATGCGTACGTAAAACTAAACGTATAATTTATATGTGTATTTTCAAGCTGCTATTCCTTCCTGCTGCATGAAGTTAAAGATGTTACCACAAATTCCTTGTTACTTTTTGAGTCCTCTTGCAACCTAATGCCTACCTGACTGTTGGACTTGGCTGGGCAGCTGGGCTGCGGTGTTGGTGTGGGTAGCCTGATGGTGGACTGGGATCTGGCGGCAGTCCATTTTCCATAGGATGAGATGAAACATATGTATTGTTGATGCGAGGATTTCGAGAGGGGTCAGAGTGCTGATGTGACACCGAACCAGACCCTGGGTGGACATTATTCACTGGAGAAGAATACACTTTACTTTCAACAAATTCTGCAAAAGAGTTACTTACTATGAACTATCTAGACTGTCAGAAACAAAACAAAATCTTGCATAGTTTTTGGGTATGGCTTTGAAAATATACAATTTTATACCTCACAGTGAGAATTTAACATATAAAAATTAATTTTGCAATTATGAGATGAATACAATAAGCAAATACTGCTAACTTTATGGCTGCTCTCAAATATTCTAAAAACAAATATACATATGTCCACTAATTATTCCAGATGACATACTTCAAACTTGTGTTAAAAGGGATTACCTGGAGCAGGCTGAGTTGTGAGAGGGATTGCAAGCCTAGCATTAACAGCCAAGAGATGATCCCGCCTCTGTAAGAGACTGTTCACATGCTCCTCCAGACGTAGGTTTTCTGCTCTCAGCTGGTGGAGACATGACAGCAGGGATGCAACTACAACACAGCAATTTTACTCTGGCATAATGAGATTTAACCTTTACATTTCAATTTTCACTTTCATGCAATCACTTATGAAAGACTTTAATGTACACATTACAGTCCCAAGTGGGATATATCATCTTGGAAGATTTTGTAAAATGTATAAAAGTATGCCTTCTGCATTACTACATGTGTCTGAGTAGACTTGCAGACAACACAGATAATAACAAAATTAATTGGTTTCTACATTATGTTGAAGTTTTTCATCCTCCTCTATGTGCCAAAACACTAGAAGTTCTGTATGCATTAACAGTGTCACAACTTTCCTCTTTCAACAGCTTATTCATGTAATGTTGCAAGTGGCAAGATGTCTTTGATTTCAAGATTTCCAATGCATATTCTGCAAACAGTGTGGCAATCAGTATTGGAAATATTAAGTTCAGTCCCAAATGCAATTATAACTTTCGGTATCAGACTACACAGCCAAAATGGTTTTTTCAATGGACAGTACCATACAGAGTTGATAATTATTCAAGGTAAGAATATTTACTCTTATTAAACCACTGAAGGTAAAGCTCATCTAAGTATTATGTTTATGTAGATTGTTCCTACCACAAAGAAAACACAACAGTTTGCCATCACAAAGACCAGTCAGTTTATGCTATTATTCATGGAAATGATCGGTATACTCTGAGAATCATAAGAAACCTATAAACACACAATGTGGGAAAGTCCAGTTACAGGCTGTTAAAACAGGTTGTTCATACAGTTACTACTGGGTTTTAAAGTACTGAACTTGCATGAACATTTTATTTTGTGGATCACAGCTCAACTTTGACAATGCATTTCATATGCACTTTAAAGTATTATAGATATGGTATGTTTCATAAAAATTAATTTGCTCTTATCAGTTATAATGAGATAATCACAAACATTCAATGATTTATTTTTAGAGTGATTTATATATTTCCATGTTTTGAACTGACTACAGTGAAACCTCGATGCATCGTTTTCGGCGGGGGGGGGAAATAAAAACGATGAATGCGGGAAAACGATAGATGCGGGAAAGCATTAAAAATTTTAAAAAAAACAATGTTTCTCTTTCAAAGTTACTTCTTTTTGCCAAAAAAGTCTTTAATGGACAACTGGTTTGTCGAAACTTTACGTTTTAGGCCAAACAGAGCCCTTTCCACGTTCAAAATGTTTTCTTCGTCACGTTCACTAATATTATGCGCATAAAAGAACGACTTCACTTTTGCCAATGCAGCGTGTGCTTCGGCAAAACTCGGCAAAGTTCGGGCTCGCATTCGTCGTCTTCCTCTTCCTCACCGCTCCAACCCCCTTTGCGGACAATAACAGGAAGAATGGAAGTACTATTACTGCCGAACTCAACGAAACGTAGCTGTAGAAGACACGATATGAACCAGAAGAATGAAAAAGTTTCGCTCGCCTTTCCTTTGTACTTATAATAAAAGCATTTGTGAAGAAATTCAAACTGCACATGCCATCTGGCATCGCTGGAACGAAATATGAGTGCACCCAAATTAAAATCGTAAAATTTCTGACAATGGGCACCGCCATTCACTCCAACTATCACCCCTGCACCGCTGACCCCTCATTCCAAAAGAATCTGTGCTGGTTGGGCGACATAACAGGTTACCGCTACTGTTTATTCCAAAAACATTGTGCGTCTTTCGGTATTAATTTATCTCTAAACCCAGCATTTTAAATTCTCAGAAACAATCATTGCGGGAAAATTGTGGGCCGGGACTAAGATTTTTGAACGATCGATGCGATAAAACGATAGTTCGAGGAACGATAGAAGCGGGAAAATGTAACATTATTTTATATGGGATGTATCCGGGACCGGACAAAACGGACGATGCATCCGGGAAAACGATAGTTCCGGGAACGATGGATAGAGGTTTCACTGTATAACAAAATGTGTTCATCACAGAGCTAATTTTTCATGCTATCATGAATTTTCATAATGGACTTCCAATGCACAAAGAAATACGAGAAACATGAAGACAGAATGAAACAATTTAACAAATAAAGAGTGCCAAGAGCCAACAAGGTAATAAAGGAGGGCAAAACAAGATAACACTGTTATTATCATACTTTGCAACTTGTATAAATGTACCCGAATTCTTAGTATCACAAAAATTTAGAGCATAGCATACTGGTAACCTTAATCATACTTATTGTAGGACATACTATCGAAGTGCTGAGCCTGTTCCATTAGAAACTGGCTGCCTTGCTCCCACTGTCTCTCCAGCAACTGGTCCAAACTCTGAGGAATGCTTCCCACAGCTGCTGTACCAGTGCTATTCCCTGCATGGTTGCTAATACTACTGGTAGGATTAATCACACTTGAACTAGCAGCATTATTGCAGATGGGGTTGGTGGTGGTTCCGGCAGTGCTGCCATGTGCTGATGCTCCCGATGCACTGTTTGCATTGCGAACCTGTATCATACCACCATCATAAATAACATACAGACACAAAGAGCATCTAAACAGCTAACCTTCTCTGTCCCTTAGTCATCACTGTACTTACTGAAGCAATAACCCGACTGTGTAGTTGAGGTCCAATTAGTGAGGTTGTGGAATTGCTGGAGTCATTGAAAATGCTGTGAGCCTCCATCTCAGCTGACAGGGTATCTGACATTTTTTGTGCCATTGTTGATGATGGATTTAGCTGATTGCCTAGCATATGTGGGGCACTCACACCATTCTGAAACCTGTCAACAGCAAATCGAGTTGACAATACACAAATGTTTTGAATGCAAGAACAGAACATTTTTACAGCCAATTTTTTTTTACATAAATACCAAATTTTGAAGAAGAAAAAAATGATACAGGCATTGCGACTAGCAACACACACATATACACAAACACAATAACCAGGCTTTGATAATCATGAATCACACTGTGTTCTTAATCTAATTAAATCTAAGAATTCAGAATTAAAACACAAAGTAACAAGAAATACAAGATGAAAAAGTGATTTGTGAATAAATGTTATAACTGTTACAGACTCTGGCCAGTCCACAAATCCAAAATTATTTTAATGTTGTCTTATCACTTAAAATTTCTAAGCTATATTTCCTTTTTCTATTTTACTTATTTTTTTAAATACTACTCACAGTTTGATATCCTTGTCATCTCTGTCTCGGCCACTGCTACTCCGTTTGCTGCTCTTTGTTTTGCTGTTACGCCCACCTGAATGAATTGACAATGTTTCTGATCCTGGACTACTTGGAGGTGAGTCCTTCACAATGCTGCTGGTTGGGATTACAGCAGTTGTGGTAGAGACATGTATAGGTACAGAGTGTGTCATCACTGGGGGTGGTGTGGGGTTGTTGCCGTTGCCCCCACGACTTCCTCTCTTACTACTGTTATTAATACTAGCTCCTGTCACAACAGCTGCTGTAGTAGTGCTGGTGATAGCAGAGGTGGTAAGTCCAGTCATTGTAGTTGTTACCACTGTTCCACTGTTGCCACGTTTCTGTTTGCGACCCTTCTCTGGCTTCTCTGTTGACTGTGTCCTACATAAGAACATCATCAAACAGTATTTCTTTGGTTAATGTAATTTCCTTATGACAGTTTTAGCTTTTTATAATCAAGAAACTGATGACACTGCACTTTCCAAAACCATGCATAAACATGCCACAATTACACACATACAGAGTTATCAAAAAGTCCTTGTCCATCTGCAGTAATTTCTTTTACATTAAAAATAAGTGTCTGAAATGGTATCCACAAACTTTCATGTCTGTATTGAAGCATTAAATTTTGTGCTAATAAAAAAGACCGAGTTCAATGACAGTATTGGCTGTCTTGATTCCTGGAGAGATGACTATTTAAACTGTACATGTCTTTGAATGCTCCTCCAAATTTAATCCTCATTCAATTTTGTAATGAAGGGACAGAAAAATCAAATTATGGTACCACTCAACATTGACAGTGTTCAAAAAAAAAAATAGGCCACATTTTCAAGCAGATATATTATCTACTTCATCATGTGTAAAGCACTGATAACCTTCCAGATCTTGCAATAGCTGCCGCTGGTGCAGTTTCACATAGCTTATCAAATGGTGTCAATGAAGCATTACCTTAACATCAGAAATTTGTCCTCAAATTTTCAGTGTTAATTCAATGTATGTATGTGTGTGTGTGTGTATATATATGTGTGTGTGTGTGACATGCACACATACACACCAAATGTTATCCACAAAATGGACTATTCAGTACTTACAAACTAAGCACACAAGAAACTTTCCCAATTCTGTGAAAGGAAGTAACTTACAACAAAGTAATCAGGGTGTGTAATGGTTATAAAATAGCACAGGAAAAAGGAAGAAAGAAGGGGGGGACCATATCAACCAACCACACATGTCAAACAAAAAGTGTGAAAAGCAAATGCTCTTTTTGTACAGGATTACAACAATCTCATTGGCCAGTGTTTATTTTACAGATCAACAACTGGTTACTTACCTGACAGAGAAGAAATATATGAGTAGGTGGTACATAATATTTCACAGGTTTCTCAACATAGCAGTAGTAAACATTGTGACTATATACATATAACACAGAGAAATAAATAGACCAGCCATTGTTTAGAATGCAGATGGTGAAGGATTTGTTTGTTCAGAGCAGCAATATGAAAGGCACATTATTTTATACTTACATTAGAAATAAGGTAGTTAAACACTTCATGCTTACAGCGTCATTTCCTAATTTCAGATATGACAAAAATACAACAGGAATCAATATTTACTAACCGGGCTCTCTTGCCAGGTTGGTCCTCTAAGTGTTGTTGCTGCTGATGTACTGCAGATGCATTAGCTGCTGTCACAACTGCTGCATTGCTAGTTACCACACTTGACTGCTGCAGCTGTTGGAACAATGTTGGAGCTGATGTCACCACAGTGGATGCTGCTGATGTGGGAGGCTGGATGGATGTGGCAGCCAGTGGTACTGACACCACTATACTTCCAGAACTAATTGCACTGCCCACTGACCCTGCAGCACTAGGAGCTGATGTGATCACATTACCTGACAACGGTCTAGAGTTTACGTTGCTCACGACAACTGATTCTGAGACTGTGGATAATGGCATGGGGTTGGGGCCACTAGCACTCATCCCAAAAAAACCTCCACTCTCTACCTTTAGTTTCTTGGAGTCCCCAAGCATTCCTCCACTATGATTATCAATACCTCCAGAACTGACAGAAACATTACCTACAACAGCATTAACACTGCCCGCAACAGTTGGCATGCCTGTGGTACCACTCACTATAGATACTGGGGTCTGCACAGAGGTAATATCAGATGAATTATCTGGAGTTGTTGGCGTCCGACTTCCACCAGCTTTTCGTTTTTTTCCCGTTATGTTAGAACTACCAGTACTAGAATTGGTAGAAGCTGGGATAGCAGCTGATGAAACACGCATATTTGCTTGTGACACTGTGGGTATATCTGCACCAAACACACTTTCACTCTGAGTCACAACTGTCTCAACAAAGTTAGAAGTGGTGAATTTAGTGTTGCCACTAGTAGCAATACTTGCAGCCGATGTTGCCATAATGGCACTGGATGAAAGATTTGAAGCATCCTTGAGACCTACCGAAGAGTTTGATGATTTGTTTATGTCAGCCAGGTCACCACCTGCATTAGTAGATGAACCATCACCAAGGTTTGGGCTGTGTCCGCCTACAACACTTTTACCACCTGTCGCTCCAATCTTTGATCCCACGACTGCAGAGGTAGTAGTAGTAGTAGTAGTAGTAGTAGTAGCCTTACCTGTCCCCTTACGCTTCCCACTCACACCTGCCTTAACCATACTATCAGGGTCCTTCTCTGGAGAGGAGTCAGAAAATCCGTTGTCTGCTGGAATTGGTTTATATGGTGGGATAGTCTTCACATTGCCACCTTTCTTCTGAAAATAAAACAACATGAAAGCATGAGCCATCCTCACATTCTGTATTACATTTTTACTTAAAGAGGGAAAATAAATTATACAGCATGTCAGACTCCTGAGGTGAATATGTTCAGAATACCATCAGCTTATAGCACACCACACACACTATTCAAATTGCTGTAATCAGTAACTATTGCATAAAGAACTAATTCTGATGTTGAATGAAAAATTAAGGATTTGAGGTTTTCATGGTGGTGAGTCTGAAGATTGCTGTCTTCTGGGTGGTTGTGCCGTGTAGTCTGGTAGATATCCACCAATGTTTCAGATGTCATGCTGCCTCCAGCATCAGGGCGATGAATGAGCCATGTGAGCGGAAAGGGCTAGGTTTATAGGGATCGGACAATAGACGGACTAGCCTAATCCTAACCAATGTGGACTGGTGTCAAATCAGGCATGGGTGTGGGGAGCAGCCTGCTGATAACTGGAGCTACTCAGAACCACTTGTAGGCAGAATGGTTACACTGACCAACAGATCCAATGAGCCCTCAACCCACTACCCCCGGAGAGACCAGCCTTGGTTGCCTTCCTGCCCTGCATTGGAACAATTTTCAACTGCATAACATCAAGTCTGTAAGTCTTCCACCAAAGAAGATTCCCAATTTTCTTTGGTCGGTGAAGGATGACTTAGGACTCAAGATGCCTGGTGTATACAGCATTCCGTGAGTTCGGCAAAGTGTACATCGGATAGACCGACCGTTCCACTGAGACTAGGGTCAAGGAGCACCAGCACCACATCTGGCTGGGACAGCCTCAGAAATCTGCCGTGGCCAAACAATGCTTCAACCTGGGCCACAGCATCCAGCTCCAGGATACCTCTATCCTTTCAACAAAATCTAGATACATGTATCAGATGATCAGGGAGACCATCAAAATTGAATTACATCAAGGAGGATGGACTTCGCCTGAGCCGATCATGGAAGCCCCTCATCCACTCTCTACGAGGGCTCTGGGAGCATCCCAGATAGCACTGTTTGCCCCACCTGGGCCACTAACCACTCTGCCCCTCTTTCAGGGCACATCCAGCCCTGGCCAGTGCTCCCTTCCACTCTCCACCCAACTCCCGACGTCCGGTGCCCCACCGGACGGACTCCCTGAGGCCCTCTAAAGGGCTGTTTCTTGGACCTCTCTCTCCTTTCTCTCACACACCCTACGACATGCCCACGCACTACTATTGGTCACCACACACACACCTGATTTGATACCAGTCCCCACTGATTAGGATTAGGCTACTCCATCTACTGTCCGATCCCTGTAAACCTAGCCCTTTCCGCTCGCATAGCTCATTCATTGCCCTGATGACAGAGGCAGCATGACCTCTGAAACATTGGTGGACTTCTACCAGACTACACGGCAGCAATCTTCTGAATGAAAAACCTCAAATGCCTTTAACAAAATATTATTATTTAACTATCCCACATTATAATGTGAAAATATGCTTACAAGTTTTGAGTAGTGATACTGGCAATAGCCGCAGTACTTGACATTGTCCAGGTAATTACCAGCCTCTTCGCATAACAAGCCAAGTGCCTGAGCACATGTCACATGGAACTGCTGCCTGCAACCAGTCTTATTACACTGCATACATGCACCAACCGTTGCACGAGAACCCTTTCCTTGCTCTTCACATATATAGCACGCCTACGACATGTCAACATAAACAATAACATTAATATAATACATAACAAACTTAAAGCAGTCATACAGAAAACAACTGTTTTGACTTCATGCTTGGCTCCTTTCCACAGCAAGTGTTGCACTTGAAAGAAAGAAATCCTCATGCCTCGGCTGTCTACAAACAACTGCAGCAAGCTACAGAGGTGTTATGTATATTACTCAATGCTTTATACATATAATTTTCTAATGGGCTGTGAATTTTTGACTAGTCTGCAGATCTTAACATTGTGTACTTGAGCTTCATCATGTATCTGTATATATCATGGATAGGCACACATTTCAGACACAGTTATCAGGATAGTTACAATTAATAAACCAACTTTTCTCAAAAAAAAAATGAAAATGTCTTGTCAACTGCTAAAATTGTTACAATGTGGCATGTTTTTGTTGTAACATCTCGTTTAAGTTACATTCTTTAAATATGGTAAAAAGTAAAGTCAACCCATTACATGCTAATGTTGGCACTTAGAGCACTCATTCTCAACCTCAACACTAGAAGGGGCTAAGTGATCAGCAGCACTCTCCGGCTGCCCTTTTTCCCCAGGGAAAGGATCCCAGTAACCACTGGACAGGAGGGTGGGCGGGACCCAGAGCCGGTCTGGATGCAGAGGCTAAATGAAAATCCTCTGCCCCTGTCGGGGATCAAACCCCAATCATCCAGCCCACAGCCAGTCACTATACTGACCGAGCTATCCAGTTCACCTTTAAACATGGTAATTGTGTCCAAACAAATCAAGCACACACAATTTATTTTTATTTTATCAAATGGGAACAGATTTAAACACCTGTATTACAGGGCTGCTGTTCAGATTTTAATTCCTGGGTTAATGGTTTGACAGTATGTTAGCACAACACACATTCAGCTGAACTGCATGTAACCTAATGCATGGATGATGAAGGTTAAACTCAAATGAGAAAGTAATTTTAGTCCCTCCTTTTCTGGAAAATGTGACACTAATTTGCACTTTTTAATTTCTTCATCACTGCCATATTTTGTGGTAGAATGAATTCCCCCCCCCCTGCCCCAGGAAAAGAAAAGGACTGCAATGAACTTTTGCACATTCTGCTACCAATACACAAATCAGACAACCAGCCCAATAACCAAACCAATAAGTTGTCATGTGTACCAGAATGATAAACTTTGGTATCACTATTATAAGTAATTCATACGTTACAAACAAGACACGGATGCAGTCATCATTTACTTCAAGGCACCACCCAAAATTAGCCAGGGGTAATTGAATATCCCAACCTGGATAGATGATACCCTAACACAAATATGAGTTTAATATTCTTTCAAAACTCTGAGGTCCAGAGATTGCACTTTAAAACAAGCCAATGACTGCTTCCTACCCAATCCCTTCCAATTTGTCAGTCACACAATCATCCTACCATTCAATGCCATGTAACATAAGGAACTCAAAATCACTGCTAAATAATCAAAGAATTGCCTCTGGCAGTAGAACACGAAAGTCCCATTAACACCAAAGCATGCCAATAGACATGACTAATCCAAAACTAAACACAGACTTCCATTCTCACATCCGGTCTCTCAAAGGCCCATCTTATCCTCTCACCTCCTTGATCTTCAAACCAGCCACTTTCCAAAATGTTTCCTCCATCAAAATTCTGTACCCATGTCTTGAATCCACATGTCCAAAGAGAAATGAAAGGGATAAATTGTTCACTTCAACAGCAGTTTCTATCCAATCTCTACTGGTCCATTATCCACATTACATGCCTGCCAATGTTGTCACAAGCTATGTGACAAATTTTTAAAACATTTACACATGACTAAAAACTAGTGATGAACTTCTTAGCAGGCCTTATGTAATAGTTGTACAGAAACAATCTTCTTCCTATTTCATACTTCTGCTTATAAAAGTCTTAATACTGTCAATCATTATTCACTGATTAGGGAATATTCTGATAATGCACAATGATTTATATTAATTTTAGACATAAAAAGAAATATGTGCTTTGTTATTCATATGGGTATCATAATTCCAACAACTTATGACAATTATAAGGGCATGAAAGCTCCAAAATGGAAAAAAGCCTGTAATACTTTGATATATCTTATCAATACATTGAACAGTCACACATCTCTTTTTCACATATAAGGATTTGATGCACATTATTCACCAACATATGCCTATAGCAGTAATAGTGAAATGTTTTCTGTTGAAATTTAGACATATATTTATACTTTTCTAAACATATATGAATTCAATTAAAAGTAAGAATACAATGGTTTCAGATAGTTTAGCATAATTTGCATGAAGTTTGGGTTGGATTTACTGAGCATACATAAAACAAAGATTCAGGAACAAGGGTGGTGAAGATAATGTCATGCTAAATGAGCACAAATAGTTAGATACCATGTTTTTACAAGTGCATTCTCCACATACACCCTGGAACATCTGTAAACATGCAATATGGTGCCCATATACAGTGTCCGGTAACTTTATGTCAGTACTACAGGACCTTATTGCTGAGGTAATTCCCAGTCACAAATGTCTTATGAATGGAGGACTAATTCCCACTCCCTTAAATTTCTATGAAAAACAGTGTATGCAAGCAAAGTAAACAGAAAATGCAAGTTGCATGAATTTTGAATTTCAAACATCTGTAGTTCCATAACTACTGAGGTCCAGTGACTGCAGCGGTCAATTCTGCTAACCACTATAGCCAATCCATCAGCCAGAAAATGGCTCACTGAGGTACTTCTGAGCCATGCCTCATGGCTCAGAGTGGTTTATCTCCCCCATCTCTATGGTCTTTGCACACTGCAGTCTTCACTCGCTCCCGTAGAGAGGGAGGCAGTCAGTCTGTGTGTGCCTTCAATATAGGGTGGACATTTGGGTAGAGAGAGGGGGGGACAAAATTTCAGTCTGTTGTGGTGATGGGCTGAAATTCTGTTTGGTTGCGGGACTGGAAATAATTGCTAGTCGGAACTCCAGCCGAGGCCTGAGTCATGTGAGTTTTTGGTTTGTATCTGTTTGATTGTTTCTTGTCATTCTCTGTGCATATTCATTTTTTTTATTTCTATACTCAATACAGTTTGTTATTGTCATACATGTCCCTTATTTTCTGTTTGCCTTAATAATCCTGATGACTGTACCACCTCAGCATACTCTGGGATAATAGTGTCACATCTGTTCGAGTATTCTCTGGAGGGTTCTAGCTGGCATTAGAACTTCCCTTTTTGAGAGCGCCAGTGGGCGCACTTCATAAATGTCAACTTAAAGTATATCTGTAATCATGTTTTGTCATTCAAAACATCCCAATGACACTGATGTTCTATGTAAGGTTCAAATCATCTAGAATTTCAAATATCCAAAACTCCATAACAGTTCACAACTGGATGTATGATAAGATCCTGGGATACTAACAAGAAGTAGCCAGTCATTCTGTATATGCAGATAAATTTGAGTTTTACAATCAAACGTGTTTACCCCTCCTACCCGCGTAACTGAACCTGTATTTTACTGACTGGTATTAGCCCAAATACAAACTATTCTAACTTACCCAATGCAACTTGTCACCATATTGAACAAGATAAACCCATGATGGTCACAAAAGTGAATTCAATTTTTATGCACAGAATGTCTTACAGATCTGAAATGTGTGTGAAAGTAATTTGGTAGTCACCAACAAACTTGTTATAACATGAATTCCAAAATAATAATAATAATAAAAAAGAGAATGAACTTACACTTATCTTCTCCAGGCATCAGGGTGAAGAAATTCTCACACAACCTCAGTTACTGATTGACATGGTTCATGTCACATAAAAGAATATGAAGAGGGGGAACTCAGTAACCAACCCCTTAGATGAATTTGATGAGCAGGTGCCTTAAACAATGACTGAAATTCTTTCAATCTTCAGTGCAATAAGATCTATATCTTCCCCCTCCCTAAGCACCTACATGGTGTATAACAGGACAGCTTTACCTTCACTTTTACTTCAGTGATTAATATCAGTGGCATTTATATGTTTGCAAATAATCTGTGTGCTAGAACTAAGGAGGCTGGCGCTTACAGATCAGAAATGAAATTCTATAATGTTTATTTCAAACAGTTAGAATCTCTAATATGCCCAAAGAATAAAACATGGCAATAAGAACATGTACATACTTTTCCTACAACTTTGGGAATCTACAGAAAAGAATACAAGAGCTATGAAAATAAATTTCTAAATGTTGGTCCAGCTGTCATTATCATTAATGTAGTAAGAGTTATAAGAGTTGAAAAGTTCATTGTGGGTCATGTTCTTTACTATACTGGAGAAATGATAATCTCAATGGTATAAATATTTAATAACACTTCATCAATTGCAAAGATTATATTTTTCCATATCATAAAGTGACTACCTATGGCAAATTGGAAAGGATGTGGAAGGTTTAATGAACTATTTTAAGGTACTCTTCTAGCATTTCTCTAGAGAAACTGAGGAAAATCATTAAAAAATAAGGGGAAAAAACAGAACCCAGCAGCTCATATCATTTAATGATAATAAATAATTAATAGCATACTTAAATAAAGCAAAGCCACATTCCTAATATCTCAATTTTCCAGGTTAAACAATACTGACTGTGGCCCTAAGTAGGATAAGTGAATGATTCCACCCACTGTTCCCCTATTGGTTCCCTCTCAGACAAGGACACTAGGCTCCAAGCGCCAACTGAATGAAAATTACAACAGACAGCATCACTTACCAAGTCAGGCCTAAACACAGGATTATGAGACAATTCTTGAATAATGCAAACTAATTCCATACTCAAATGACTGATAGCTCAAGAAAACTTTATTGCAAATCTTTTGTTCCTAAATTTTGGCACATGCAAATACCAAAACTCTTCACACACACTTTTCTGTCATTGGTGGAATTTTAATTGTAAAAATTATGAATCAATCTCATTTATACAATAAAATCCATTACACTTCTAACATATGTTATTTGTTTTTTTCCATGTGTCGGTAATATAAGTCCAAAAGGTTTCAGATTATTTCATATTGATAAGACACATGCATATCATACATCCATTAGCAGCAAACAAAACTGATGAACTACTGAATGACTTCCAGCATCTTTGCACTTTTTTAGTATGTTCAGAATAAACAACACATTACAAGGCAATGCAAACTATGGGGCTTATCCGAACTAAAGAAAGTGCCATAAATTATAAGTTACGGCTTAGTTTCAAATTAAAGAGACCAAACAACAAATCTAACATAATAAACAAAAGGGGAAAAATAATAATAACCATCAAGCACAACACTTTTCAAACTGAATTAAATACCACCCAAAAGAAAAAGAATTAAATACCACCCAAAAGAAAAAGAATTCATTACATGTAAAATAGCGAAGAATGCTTTTCAGTAAAACATGGTTTGCTACAACTGAACAAGCTGATTACCTTACTGAAGCGTTCTGTAGGGATGAGTTGCAAGATGATTGGTTCCATCGTCGTCACATTGCCAAAGCGTACCTCAGGAATGTACAGTGCACAAACCACATGAGCCCAGGCACTATTGTCAGTTTTTTTGAGTGCACCATCCTTGCTGGGGCATAGCTCACATCGCTGTAGACATGGCAGTACAGCACAGGAAATAGACAACAATAAAACTACCTATAAGCTTGTACAGACAACCCACAAATCTTGTACAGCGAACGAAATATAATGCAACATGTGGGAAGGTAAACGGAAAATGTTCTGTAAAGTGGAATATTTTAACACTCACCACTCTAGCGGCACGTTCTTGACTCTCACATTTTCGACAAAACCATGGGCCTGTTGGTACTGTCACAATTCCATAACACGCTGCAAAGAGAATGGCTACAAAAGTGACCTCTATATGGAGTTGATTACTTTTAAATCTGCAATGCAATCATAACCTCTTTCAGTTCTTTTTATTACAGTCTTCAATACCAAGCTAGGGAGGTCTAGGCCTATCTCTGAGTGGGTCTTAGTCAACAAAGAATCTATTTTGGGGCACACTTACCCTGGTGTACTGCAACGGTGCATCCTTGACCATCACAATAAACGAGGGGGTTCTCAGCCCACCCTCGTTCATCCGAACATACACAGCACCCTCCTACCATTTCCTTCATAATGGGATAAAAATGCCTTCGCTGAACTAGCGTCACTTTAGAAGTGGCTTGTTCTTCATGGTTATGCAGTTTCTTACACCATGTTTCACGAATTAACTATCACATTTAAACTTACATATTTTAATTAATACAATATCTGCACTGATTTTACTACCAGTTTTATGTTTTACACATTCTTCTGCACGTAATAAATATTGATGAACACACCATTTTACACACAATAAAATAGCGCATGCGTAATGGCGGGAGTACATAGGTCCGCGCAAAAACAGTCGAAAATCGAAGGGACACCGTTCACAAAAGTGATGATTGCTACATGAAACAGGTAAGGCTTCAAATATTACAATAAGAGTACGTGTTGGTATATTGTGGTTAAGATTGATCGAAAAGTGTGCCACAAAATAGGATTGTGGCAGTCGTGGGAACTACAGACCTATGTGGTTATGTATATGTGTACGAATGTGGAGAAGCCTGATAGCCTGCAAAGTTAAACTCACCAGAAAAAGGTTTCACAATATCCCACCTTTTACAGCATCTTAAGACGAACAAATATATAGACAAGGAACATTTAATAGCACTATTACTGTCACAACATAAAGACTGCCAAACGCCATTATTGCTGCACATTTCAATATTCCTACGTTGGAAATGCTATGTTTAAACCGTACGGGATAAATGCACTGTTAATGATTTACATACGATTGTTTTATGCGACTATAAAATTTAGAGTTAGTTGGATTTTCGGTTATCACAACTCTGAGTTCGAAGATTGCTGTCTTCTTACAATTAGTTGAACAGACCAGAGAATGAAGATTTCTGGGTTGTTAAGCCGTGTAGTATGGTAGATGTCTACCAACGTTTCATAGGTCATACTGCCTCCATCGTCAGGGTGATCATCGCAGCAAGGACCTCTGAAATGTCGGTAAACTACTATCAAACTACGCAACAAAACAACTCAGAAGACAGCCATCTTCATAGAGTAGAGTAGAGTTGAGTAGAGTTTATTTACATTCCATAGATCCTTCTTAGGACTCAACCAAAGGATGTAGAACATGTCATTTCATACAATATACATACACTTCACAACTTTCAACACAAGTACAAGAACGTATTTCACATATCAATGTACATAAATTTCAGATTCTGCAATACAAGTATGAAAAATAATTTTACAAATTAATATACATAAACCTCAGAATTTTAAATATAAATACAAAACTTGCTTTACATACACGTAGATTATGGATATAAAGCTTAAACATTTTCAGCAGAGATGAAATCATCTACAGAATAGAAGGAGTGAGTAAAGAGGTAATCTTTCAATGCAGGCTTGAATACCTTTATATCATAATTTAGACTTTTAATTGTTGGTGGAAGATTATTAAACAACTTGATACCTGTATAGTACACTCCTTTCTGATATTTAGTAAAGTTAACATTTGGCACATATAGATCATGTTTACGTCTTGTATTTAAATTATGTACATCTGTATTTCTTTTAAATTTATCCATGTTTTCCACCACAAATGATAGCAAGCAGAGTATAAATTCACTTGCAAGTGGAAGTATATTAAATTTACGAAATAATTTTCTACAAGATCCCCTGTTTTTGACCCCAGCCATTATTCTAATTATTTTCTTTTGCATGTAAAAAACTTTATTACTGTCTGTTGAATTTCCCCAAAAGATTAATCCATATGACAATACAGAGTGAAAGTATGCAAAGTAAACTAGCTTTAAAGTATCTATTGTCATGAGTGGTACGACTGTTCTCATGGCAAAGCATGCAGAGCTTAGTTTGGGAATAATATACTCAATGTGTTTCTTCCAATTTAAGGTACTGTCGACTTGTAAGCCAAGGAATTTGTTTGTTTCAACTTACACAATTAATTTTTCTTCAAAACCTGTATTTAATCTAGGATATGTCTTGTGCTTAGTAACAAATTTTATGAAGTCTCTTACAGCAACAATGTTTCTAATAGCATCACTTGTGTAAGCGGGTTCTCAGCATTTAATATGCTTTGAAATAAACGTAAATTTCGAATCTGTTGATTCGAAATTCCCGCTATACAATGGGTCGATGTAAGGATCAAAGAATAAAGGATGCTAAGATGCTGCAATGAAACGTTATTTCGTTATTCAAAGTACGGTACGGAATTTGTATTGGGTATTTAGGAAGATGTCCTTGTGAAGGTCAAAACTCATTTCTAGGTTCTCTGTAGAGCAGGGTTGTTTGGTTGCAGTATAAAGTCAGTTTGATTTTCAGACCAGGTGAACAAATTCAGTGAAATAATAAACATGAGTCGAAAATTCTGGGTTGGTGGTAACTGGAAAATGAACGGAGACAAGAAGACAATCGATGAAATTATAAAGTTTCTAAATGCCGGACCTCTGGATCCTGCTGTTGGTAAGGCTCGCCGAATTCAGTTTGAAAATGTATCTTTTTTTGAATTAGAGAAACATAATACCGTGTTTTCTCTTTCAGAGGTTGTCGTTGGTGTGCCGGCCATCTATTTAGAATACACAAAAAATATACTCCCACCAAATGTATCAGCATCTGCCCAAAATTGCTACAAAGTTCCAAAAGGAGCATTTACTGGTATGTATAAATCTACTGGGCTAATTCTCCACGGCTCGATAATTGTAGAACTTGATTTTGTGACATGTTTAGTTATTCCCATTACACCTGCTGTAGAAGAAAACTCCATGGGATGCTACAGAAATTCATACATTTGTAAATCATGAGAGAGCATCATAAAAATTCCTTGCTTTATTCTTGTCCTGGAGATTTTTGACTCAGAAATACTTTAGTGTTATTACATTGTGGCAGTAGGAAGCATGCTGCACTTGCAGATTGTCATACTACGGAAGGGTCCCTGTGATAGAGTTCTGCACAGGAACAACTTAAGTCTTGCCAAGTCATGTTATGTGTATAAAATAATTTTCAGTGAAGTATTTTCATTTCCTTCTGTTCACCTCAGAAACTTGTGTGGATAAAATTATGGTTTATGGGATTTAATGTTTCTTTGGTTTGCAGGTGAAATTAGCCCACCCATGATCTCTGATATTGGTGTGAAGTGGGTTATTCTGGGACATTCAGAAAGAAGGCATATTTTTGGTGAGAATGATGATGTAAGTTCATACACTTGAATTCTCATCACAACCTTCTGACACTAACACCTAAAGATCCAACTCTATGAATGTGAAAGCTTGTCACTGAATGCAATACTGCACCAGTTCCACCCACCTGCCTTCCTCATAATCTGTTTCCCAAAGACCCATTTTAACATCTTCCTATGTCTCCTTGATGTTTGAAGTGGCTTCTTTATCCCAGTCATATATAATATCATCATCAATGCAGTTTGGACTATGTACCATGTTCTCCCTACATATTTAATAAATTATTCAATGTTTGAATTTTAAGTTTCATTAAGTCCGTACTGCATATGAACATTGTGAACCAGGTAATGCAGTGGTGTGACTGCCACTAGCAGGTTTCCACACATCTTCCCTCTATGGTGATGATGTTTTGGGTTTTGATGCTATGCAGGCTTGTAGGTAGAAGATGGACACAGAATGTTTCTGCAAAATGTCATCTACCTATAAGTGTACATAGCATCTAAACCATGGGTCATCAACCGTTTATACCTACCGCCCACCGGTGCCGCACGTACTGCCCACCACCATGAAAGAGGTACAGCTCGAAGACTGAGTGATGGCCGGTGGTAAGCCCCGCCGTCGTTATGCGCACTAAACTCGTGCCTTTGGCTACGGAACTCATTTATTGCTCCCTCGTCCACGAGTATACTTTGAGAAGTGTCCGGTGAATTATTATCTATATTCAAAGTTTAGAGATGGAATTCCAAAGTAAATTGCAAAACCATATTTTAAAAATTCAAACTCGCGAAGTTTTTAGCAATGTATTCGATATATGGAAGAAGAACAAAATTTGTAACAACGGACAAAAATCCCCACCACCCACCATGAAAGCTTGAATCGCCCACTAGTGGGCGGTAGGGACCAGGTTGACAACCCCTGATCTAAACCCACATCATCATCCTCACAGATTTCCCTGTTTTCTTAGAGTCCTAGAGCCACTAGAAATTGTGTTGTCTGTTGGTCTACAGATATTCAGTGTTTTGAGACAAATCCACCATATCTGGAGATGTTTCCCATTTACCACATAGAAGTTATAAGGTCTTCCCAGGGTATATGTTATCCATACAGGGCTTTCTTTCTGGCGGTATGTAGAAGAAGAAGAAGATTTTTTCAATTTGAGAAGTTTAGAAATTATGGTAGTTTGAAAATAAGGCAAAGCCATATAAGAAGTAAGAGGTTTTAGTGAAAAATGTCACAATAATTGCAGCATGAAACTAAAGTAGTGTTATTTAATAATGTTAAAAGATTGTTCACAGTGTTTGGAAGTGGGCCATTGCTGTGAAGTACTGCTGTCTAGTTCAACAGAACGTGCCTTCAAGTCACAAGTAGACATTGAACACTTGTTGTACCATGTCATTATTAAATAACATTACTTCAACTTCACATTGAATTTGTTATAAAAAAACCTCTTATTTCTGCTGCATCTCTATCTTACTTTCAGACTACCATGACTCCTTAACCTTTCTGCATTGAACCATGTTAATAGGACTTCTGTTTCTTAAAACTGTTTGATTAATAAACCCACAAAGTTTGACATACTGTGTAATTGAAACATAAGCCCAACATTTAGTATTGAAAAATATCTCTAATTTCTCTTGTTGCTATTAAAGGATATTTGATCTGTGTCATCAGATGGTTGCAGAAAAGGTGGCCCATGCGCTGGAATCTGATTTGC